AATCTGTTTTAAGGTTATTATTTCCTTCCCCTTATAACTGTTTCTTCTCTCATTAATTTATAAATCTCTTCCTTCACTATTTTGCGTGCAAATCTAATATGGATCTCTTTGGGTAATTTATTCCTGCGGGCGTAGTTCATATGAACTCTGTAAATTTCATCTATTTCCCTACTGATTTCTTCTTTCTCCTTCTGGGTGGCTTCTGCTAATATTCCCGTCATCAAATCTCTTAAGTCTTCTTCTCTATTTTCCGCAATGTTTTGGAACCATAGGTAAAAGGATGCTTTCTCCATTTCTAAATAAGTAATTGAGTCTTCCAATTCTTTATTTAATGCTGTCTGGTTTTGTTCCATATTGCCAATTTTTTTTTCTGCTTGGTCCATTTTTATTTCCATATTTTGGATCCGTTGTTCATTTTTTACAATATTTTGTTGTATTTTCTCAATCTTGTCATCCTTTTTTTAATATTGTCATTTATTTCTCCTACATCTAATTTCAATTCTTCATTGTTCCGTCTCGTTTCCTCGTGGTTGTTCGCTATTGATTCTTGCGTCTTATTCATCCCCTCCTGGATCATGGCTAAGACTGATTGGATGTTTTGTATGTTGAATGTAGTGAAGGCTTTTTCTTTGTCTGAGGATAGCATTGTATTGATTGTTTTTTGTTCTGCTGGTGAGGATATTGTAGTTGTCTTGTTTGATATTAATTTTTTACCTGTCTTGGTTGTTATTGTTGGACCTGTTGTTGTCATCTTTATTTTTTGTTTTACGATTTCCCAAATTTTCATACACTATGATTCTTATAGAGTCGATGTATTTTTATTTCTGTATTAATATTAGTATTAGATTTGTTCAATATGTATGATTGAGGAAAGGAGTCAGTATGTGAGATATCTTATCTGTTTTCTTTTCTGTTGTATAGTCACTAGTTTATGTATTTCTAATAATTTCACTTAAAAATATTGTTATATAAGGGTTAGGTAGGTCAGTTGAGGAGTAGGGAGAAAGTACAATAGTTCAGCAATTCATTACTCTATTCTTATTCCTCTTAACTATAATATTTATATATCAGGTAATAATATTAATAAATCACACTTTTTATTCTGAATAATTAATTATCAATAATTTTGTGTGTAGTCTAAGATCATCAACCAGCTTATTTAAGACTACTTAGAATTACTATAAAAATTACTATATCTAGGCAATATCTATATAATAAATGTATATAATTATAATCAAAACAGTTTCAATTAATCGATATATCTCTATAAACGTCTATCTTTTTTTTTAAAATATACTTTATTAAGTTTTATATTTATACAAGACAAAAATTTCATTTCTGTTAACATTGGATCTGCAGTGTTTTTACATATATACATAAAATGTCTCTGGTGTCACTTAATCAATTTGTTGCTACTTATTTAACATACCTTATACTCCCCCTTTAATTCTGTTGTTCAACCATTCGTACCACCTTTCCCACACAGTATAATACTCTGAGTTCTCATCATTGTTTATTTCATACGTTAATTTATTTATCTCTGCGCAATCCAGAATTTTCCTAATTATAAGTTCTTCTGGTGGCAGGGTTTTCTCTTTCCAGAATTGTGCATACGCCAGTCTAGCAGCTGTGGTTATGTGTATTATCAAATGGATCTTTTTCTTTCCATACCCCTTCTTTACTATTCCCAGGAGAAATATTTCCGGTGTCAATTCTATGTCTTCTCCAATTATTTCTTGTATCCATCTCCAAATTCTATTCCAGTATCTTTTCACTTCAGGGCATGTCGACCACATATGAAAGAAGGTGCCCTGACCATGGCCGCATTTCCAACAGTTGGGGTGCATATTGGGAAACATCTTAGCTAGTCTGGCAGGTGCTAGGTACCACCTGTGGAGCATTTTGTATTGATTCTCCTTATATGTCGCGGCTCTAGTTAATTTATAGTTTTTGTTCCATGCCTCTTCCCATTCATTGAAATTTAAACTATGTCCTATATTTTTTTCCCATACTTTCAGTTGGTTTTTAGATGTCTCTTCAGTTCTGTCCTCATCTAGCAAATAGTTATATAGTTTGGCCCAAACTTTTTTCTCCGGTCCCATCAAAATTTTGTCTAGTCCATTATATCCTAATTCTAAGCCATATTCTTGTCTTTCTGATATCTTGATTTTACTTGTAGGTAAGTCCACCAATCAAGATTTATACCTTGGTCTCTCAGAGTGTCAACTGATTTAAGGTTTCCTCCCCCATCTAATATATCTTTATATCTGCACATTTTCTCCATTCCCCACCTGTTTGGATAGATCAAGGCCTCCATCGTGGAGAGCCATTTGGGAACTTTTGTATACTAACGCTGTCTGATTCCGGTCCATGTTTGAATTAGGGATTCCCTGATTTTATGCCTATGAAAATAAGTTTTCTTTTTTTTTTTTTGTGTCCCACAGGTATGCAATGCCACCCCTTCTGTAAGTCGTGGCCTTCTAAAGTTAGAATTCTCCTGTTATCCAATATGGCCCACTCCCTTATCCATACTAGCTTGGCTGCCCTGTAATACGATTCCCAATCTGGGAGTCCAAAACCTCCCATGTTCCTTTTTCCCTGTGGAATTTTAAGTGAGATCCTCGGTTTTTTCCCATCCCATAAAAAGTCCCTGATGTTTTTATTTAATTCTAAAAAAATTTTTTTTTGTCTAGGGTCACTGGTATGTTTTGATATTGGAATAAAATTTTGGGAAAGATATTCATCTTAATCGCAGCTATCTTGCCTACAAATGATAGTTTAATTTTCTTCCATCTGTCCAAATCTTGTTTCACTTTTCTAATTAGGGGAACATAATTATCTTCCTTTAGGGATGAGCACCTTTTAGTAATCCAAATTCCCAGGTATTTTATTTTTTTGACTACCTGTAATCCCAGCGATTCTTCTATCTCATTTTCCTGGTTTTCAATTACATTCTTAGTTAGTATTTTAGTTTTAGTTTTGTTCAATTTAAAGCCTGCCACCTCTCCATACTTGCCCAATTCCTCTAATACTTTTGGTCTGGATTCTAAAGGATCTTCTAATATTAGGGCCACATCATCCGCAAATGCTTGTGTTTTGTAGATTTCTTTTCTGATCTTTAAACCTTTGATTTCTTCATTTTTTCTGATTTTTCGCAATACGACTTCTAGGGCCAAAATAAATAATAACGGTGATAGGGGGCAGCCTTTTCTTACCCCCTTCCTAATCTGAAACCCTCTTGTCCTGTCACCATTCACTAGAATGCTCGCCCTTTGGTTGTCATAAATAGTTTCTATCATTTTCACAAAATTTAATCCGAATCCCATTATTCTAATTTGGTTAATCATAAACTTCCAATTCAAATTATCGAACACCTTTTGGGTGTCCAAAAAAATTAGGGCCATCTGTTTTCCGGGATGCTCTTCATAATACTCCAGGATGTTTAATACAATTCTCAAATTGTCCTTAATTTGCCTCCCCCGGAGGAATCCGTTTTGATCTTTATGTATCCAAGCGTTTAGTATTTTTTTAAGTCTCTTGGCCATTATACTCATGAATAATTAGTAATCAGTGTTAAGGAGAGATATCGGCCTGTAATTTTGGATTTGTTTTAGGTCGGCACCTTCTTTTGGTAGGAGTGTGACATACGCTTCCCTCCATGTATCTGGAATTTTTGCACTCGTTAGGGCCTCATTAAAAATTTCCATTTTTTTTTTTTTTTTAAATTTGATTTATATGCCGCCCTTCTCCGAAGACTCAGGGCGGCTTACAATGTGCTCAGCAATAGCCTTCATCCTTTTGTATATTTATACAAAGTCAGCTTATTGCCCCCACAAACTGGGTCCTCATTTCACCTACCTTAGAAAGGATGGAAGGCTGAGTCAACCTTGAGCCTTGGCGAGATTCGAACCCTGCAGTAATTGCAGGCAGCTGGTCTTAAGCAGCTTAATAACAGGGTGCCTTAAACCCTTGTACTACCAAGGCTCTACCATTAATTTTGATTGAATTTTTTCTTCCAACTTTTTGTATATTTCCCCTGGGAAACCATCCGGGCCTGGTGCTTTGTTATTTTTGATTTTGGAGAGGGCTGTTTTAAGCTCTTCTAGTGTTATTTTTCCGTTAAGCATTTCCCTCTCTTCCTCCGTTATTTGTAGAAGCTCGGCATTTGCCAGATATTGCTCTAGTTTTCCCTCTGGGGCTTCCTCTTCTTTGTATAAAGCTTCGTAGTATTCCCTTGCTCTCTCTAATTTGTCTTTTTCTTTATTTAAAAGGTTGCCCTTGGCATCTTCTAATATATGGATTTGCCCTTTTTCGTTTTCTTTTTTCAGTTTGTAGGCCAGCCACCTTCCCGACTTGTTGGCATTTTCGAAGTAATATTGTTTTGTTCTTTTTACTTTTAGGGCTAATTCCTCTTGGTCAAAGATGTTCATTTTGTGTCTCCACATCAACCAATTTTGTTTTGCTGCACCGTCTCCAGGATTATCCTGGAGCTTCCTTTCTGCTTCCACTAGATGATTAAGAATATCTTCCAAGGATTTCCTTTTTTCTTTATTTTGGAATGCATTGTAGGATATCACTACCCCTCTTAAATAGGCCTTCATAGCATCTCAGACTATTTCTCGTGGTGTTCCTTGGTTCTCATTTTCTTCAAAGAAGAACTTTACTTCTTCTTTCAGTTTTTCTATGCATTCTTTGTCATTCAATAATTTCACATTGAGCCTCCATCTCTGTTGTTTCTTTCTCTTTGTACTCTTCCAAATTATTTCAAGGGGGTTATGATCTGCCCAAGTATTTGGGCTAATATCTGCCGTCCATATATCTAATCCCACCTTCCTGGTAAACCATGCCATGTCTATTCTAGACCATGACTTTTGCGGGTTGGAATAGAATGTATACTGTCTAGCATCTGGATACAGGGTTCACCATATTCAATTAAATTTAATTCGTCCGCTAAATCAAAAAATGCTCTTGGTAAATTTGTTCTTTTATTTTTGTTGGATTTATTACTTTTATAATCTTTGTCCGGATCTACAATGCCATTGAAGTCGCCTATAATGCAAATTTCGTTGTGTGCCAATTTTCCTAATTGTTCATGGAGTTTTTGGAAGTATTCTCCATTTTTTGTTTGGAGCATAGATGCCCGCTATTAGCATTTTGGAATTACCTCTAGTGACCTCGATCATAAGAGTTCTGCCCTTTGTATCATTGTACTTTAATTCAGCTTCTATTCCTTTTTTACATAAATTACTACCCCCCCTTTTTTTCTCTGCTAGTGAAGTAAATATTTTGCCGTATTTTGTGTATTCTAGACAAGTGCCCTCATCCTTTTTTATATGAACTTCCTGTAGCAGATTATGTCTGCATTTTGTTTCGCTAACTTTGTGAGTGTTGACTTCCTCTTTTTGTAATCATTCAATCCGTTAACGTTTATTGATATTAGTTTTAGGTTATTCATTCCTGATTTCCTTGTCTGGTTCCTAGTTCCTGTTTGTTCTTACGGCTCTTACTGGTCTTGTTTTTTTCCCTTTGGCTTCTTCTTCTTCTATCTTCTTCTCCTCCGCGATTTCTTCTTTACTATTTCGTTTATGTGAAGTTTCTTCTTCTAGGTTAATTGCCTCGATTTCCTCTTTACTGCTCTATTCTTCTTCCGCCCCTCTTAGCTGGTTGAGGAAATCTTGTGCTGAACTCAGGCTATTTTTATTTTCCTCCCCTGCCATGTAATTAACATCCCTTCTGGCAAGAGCCATCTAAAAAGTATGTTCCTTTTATTCAATTGCATGGCTAGGAATCTGTAGTCCTTTCTTACCTCCCTCACTCTTCTTGGCACTTGCTTTAATATGATCACCTCTTTTCCTCTATACGTAATTTGCCCTTCTCGCCATGTTATACAAGATGTCTTTCACTTTCTTTCTCGCAAACCTCACGTGGACCTCCCTGGGGAGCCTGTTTCTCCTCGCATAATTTGTTTGTACCCTATAATCATCGTCCAATTCTCTAATAATTTCTTGCTTACTCTGTTGGAGCACTTCCGCTATCAGTTCAGCCATTTTTTCTCCCAGATCTTCATCTTTGTCTTCTATGACATTTTGGAACCGTAAGTAAAACGAAGCCCTGTACATTTCCAGTTGGATTAATGAATCTTCTAATTCCTTGTTCTGCATCGTCAACGTCTGGTCTACCGTATCTAGTTTTTTCTCATTCTGTTCAATTCTTTGCTCCGCCTTCTGGATCCTTTGCTCATTATTGAATATTGAGACTTGAATTTCATTCATCTTCTTGTCCAGTGCATGTATGTCTGTTTTTAATTCAGAATGGTTATTTGACATTTTCTCCTGCATAGCCATCATCGTTTCTTGTATAAACGTCTATCAAGTTACTCACAGAAAAGGGGAAAAGTAGGAAAAGATAATACTAATCAATATAGTTAATATGCAATATAAGTTCTAATTGTTAGACAATATCAATACCTAAAGTCTATAATTAATTATCTAAAAAAATATGGCACTTATTACTAGTATTGTATCAATCGTTCAATATCTAAGATTATTTATGAATATATATAATTTATAATAATTATTATTTATGTTATTTACTTGATCAAAATTGAGTAAAATCTAAATTTAAATATATAAAGTAAATGAGAGTAACTAATTACATATATTATTAAATATATAATAGTTTATCCACTATATCATGTTTAAACAGTTGGATTTACTTCCGTGATCTTCCTTCTTCAGTCTGTCTTCTATCACTCCAGTTTTAAAAGTTTTAAAGAAATTTGCTTTAAATAAGTCAATCTCTTCCGATTCTTCAGTAGAAAAAAGTCTCTTGTTTGTGTCTTTTTTCAGAGGGATTCAATGTATCCTTCTGGTATCTAGTTACAATGTCTCGTATCTGTGGCTCACCTCGCCGCCATCTCTAATTGTAAAGCGAAAGTTTCTCTTCTTCAAGTCTTTTATCCACCATTCATTAAGGTTTCCACTGTATGCTTTTCTCTCAGTCCGCGGTTTTTTCCTAGGTCTCGCTTCTCTGTTGTCTCTCAGCACGATCACAGTTCTAATTTTACACACTTTCCTCTTCGAAACCAATTTATTTTGTAAGTTTGTAATCCAAACACCTTTTCGCAATGTTTCTTAGCTTTCACTTGCCTCCGCCGCCTGTCAAAATTGTGCTGTCACTGTCGGCTTTGAATTTCCGCTCCAGTATCTCTTCCCTCGCCGCTTGTCTGGCAGTAAAGCCGCTGGTTTTTGGAGTCTCACTATCACCTGCTTCTTTTCGTTTCTTTGTAGTTATACCTTTCTTATTCTTGTTATTTATTTTAATTCTTACCGATGTCCTCTTTATTTGATCTTCGCTTCCACACTAATCAGTTGTCAACGCTCAGCCAGCCAAGATGGCTGGTTTTTTCCCGGTTGGATTTAGAAGGATTCCTCTGAACCTTCGGGGTGATTGCTGTCCCTCCAAGGTCCTTGAGATTCTGACGCAAGCACAAAGGCCAGCTGATCATTGTGCACGCATGAGCGACAGAAACCTGGAAGAGGAACAGGCGACGCTGCGCATGCCAGGCAACATGACTCCGTGTGCCACTTCAGGCATGCGTGCCATAGGTTCGCCATCACGGGGATATGGCAACCCTTTACATACCTTTTGCTGACATTAGGGCTGAATAGATGAAAGTTTTGATTTATTTATAGATAAGTGATGGGATATGGGATAAAGATGATAAGATAGAACAGTGGTCACTAACCGGTGGTCCGTGACAAAATTTTGGTGGTCTGCAGCGCACCTGGGTGGAAGAGCTGCTCCGGGATGAGCAATGGCCAGTCCTGTGACTAGAGCTCTGGAATATGGGACTGGCCAGGCAGCTCATGCTGGGGCTGTAAATAAATGTAGAGGGAAGTTCGTGCAACTTGCAACTTTGCAGCGCAGTCCTCGCTGGCCGGAATGAGGAAATGGTGCAAAGGGGGTGGCAGTGCAGGTGGCTGAAGAAACGGGTGGCGGGAGCCCCGGGCTGTTTTCTTCCCCTTGCTGTAGCTTCCTGTTGGCTGAACCTACCAGTGGCTATCCCCGCCCCTCGCCCTCCCTTCCCTCTCACTCTTCGCCTGGCAAGGGAAGGGTGGGGGATGGAGATTTGCTCCATATTCCAGAGCAGGAGCGAAGCTTCGTCTCTTGCAGGATCTTATGGCCGTTTCTTACGGCCCTTGTTGGTGCTCCACACACCTCGGTCTCTTGGGGAGATGCTTGACTTCCTCTCAGCCCCAAGACACTGGCTGGCCCATGAGATGAGAGAAAGAGAATGAGAGAGAGAATGAAGACAGAGAATGAGAGAGAGAATGTGAGAGTGGGAGAGAGAGAAAAAAGGGGAAAGAGAGATGAGACAGAGAAAGAGAGGGGGAGAAAGAGAGATAGAGAGAAAGGTTGGGGAGAGAGAGAGAAAGACAGAATGAAAAAGAGAGAGAGACAGAATGAGAGAGAGAGAGACAATGAAGTGGAATCAGAGAGAATCAGAACGAGACACAGAGAGAAAGAGGCAGAGAATGAAAGAGAAAGAGACAGAGACAGAACAAAAGAGAAAGAGAATGAGAGTGTCAGCTCTGGCATGCTCAGCTTGGAGCTGCCATTCGGGGAGGGGGAGAAAAGACCATCAGGGGCCGATCCCAGGGGAGGCAGCCTTGCTGCAAACAGCTGGACATTGTCAAGCCCCTTACAAGGCCTCCAGAACTGCCTCAGAATGTCTCCAGCAGCAAGCGAGCCTCAGAAGCACAACTTACAACTGTGAGACAACTCAGAGTGACTCAGCACTTCCGGGAGCACTGGGTGACAGGCAGGCACATGGGGGACGGGGTGTGGTGGCGGGAACTGTTTAAAGGTGGTGGGGAGCACCGGATGTTAGCTCTGTCAATCCTTTCTTTGCATTGTTTATTGCTTGGATGGTGAGTGCCGGAGAAGATAAACGCTTCAAACCTAAACATCATTTGGCTGGGAGTTTTTTTCTGCGGAACCTGACAATTTGACAGAGCTCTTGACCATGGCTGAAGATACAGTATTGGGGTTAGAGGTAGCTGATTTGGAGGATTCTGCAGTGGCAACTGAAGTCACTGTACTGGAAGCCATACCAGACCTGGCAGGGAAGGCATCCCTGGACATTAGACCCAAAGACCACTCCAGCGCAAGGGAGCTTCCGGTGGAGCATGGGGAGCCAGAGGCTGGACAAAGGCCACCAGGATCCAGTGGGGAATGGGGTCTGGGCCGCAGGGCCACTCTGCCGTCTGTTCCTCCACTCACCCCATCTGGGACCCATTTTGCCCAGTGACAGGAAAGGAGGATATCAGATAACGATTGGAGCTTCTCCACCAGAGTCGGCAGCCAGACCATAGACGTGCTGCAGGAGTTGTTTGGGGCGGTGGGTTTCGTGAGCCAGGACATGACAGTGGATGGTGGGACCTGGCTGCAACAGGCCACCCACCACACGGACCCCAACAGCCAGGAGGGGTGGCCGGTGGGTTTCGGGTTCCCAGCAGAGACCCCCAGGAGAAGCCCACAGGGACAGACCGCCGGCCATCCAGGCCGGGTGGTCACCAGACACCTCAGTTCCCTGGAGGTTAGCACGTACTGGGGGAGAGGTCACCAGGATATGAGAACTACCCCCCCTAGGCCACAGAGGTGTGTCCGTTGGCCATGGCCATGGAACATTGGGATCCACCACCAGTGCGGGCCACATTTGACGGCAGCCCAGGGAAAGTAGCCCTTTTACTGGGCCAGGTTGTAAACCACCTGGACCGTTACGGCCATTTATACACGTCCAATTGGGACATGATAATGGCGGTGGCAGCAGTAATGGATGAAGAGGCCGCTGATTGGGTGGTGGACCTCTACGTAGAACACGTTGCCAAACTAGGCGACATAGGTCTGTTCTTAGCAGCATTGCAAGAATGATTCGAGGACAGTACAAGGACCCAGGAAGCGGAGGATGAACTGCTTGCAGTTAAACAACGGGGGAGGCCTGTATGAGAATACATTAGGGAATTCTGGCGCCTAGCTGACAAGGGGTTGGCCAGAGCAGCTGATTGTGCATCACTTCAAGGTCGGCCTTGACTGTGCTCTATGCCGCACCTGTATGTGCTGAGGACTGCCCCCAAGATTGCCAGTATGGTTCCAGGCCGCAATGGAACTCGATGTGGAATTCCGGGAAGACAGACCAAAAAGAGAGTGGGGAGCCTGAGGACAAAGGCCATTGCCATCTCCAACCCGGACCACAGGCCTTGGGCCATGGGGGCCCCTACTATCAGCAATGGCCCCTCTCCCTGTGGCACCTGGACCTGGAAAGCCATCTTTGGTCAGGCCGCTGATCACGTTTCCAGTGTGGGCGGCAGGGTCACAGGGCGGCTGACTGCAATGACAACGCTCCAAAGGGGTCCAGTAGTTCATCCAGCACAAAGAAGGGAACAGCCAGGAAGAGCATCAAGGATGGGCCAGAGAAATCACAGAGGGCAAGCCAGGGAAGCACGCTCCATACCGCGTTTAGTAGCAGAGTTGACACCCCTGATGCCAGTGGACATGGAAAGAGACTCCGATCCAATGGTATGTAGACCGGTCAAACCATTTGTCATACCGGTGGTGGTAGAGGCAAGCAAACGACGGAACTGTACAGCCCTGATTGATTCAGGGTGTACTCGTTGTTTGGTGAATGCTACCATAGCCGCCAGTTTGGGGGTAGGCCTTAGGTCACTGGCAAAGCCAATATGCTTTGAGAAAATGAATGGGTCATTGTTGGGGAGTCGACCAGCCATGCATGTCACAGAAAGGGTGGTATTGGGCAACATCTAGGGACACTGAGGTTTATTGTGGTCCCGAGTATTACGGAGGAGATAGTACTTGGCCTAGCATGGTTAGATAAGTGGGGCCCAACAATATGGTGGGGGAGTGGCTCTCGCCATCTGCGGATAGGGATTGGCCCTGACCAGCCACCCCATGAGGGGAAACTCCAAGAACCGAGACCAGATAGGGAGGGGCGAAGTATCACACTACCCCATGTTAAAACAACGGATGATGGAGAATTCCTTAGAATATATGCAGACCTGAAACAGATATTTAGCAAATGAGAGTGTAACACCCTACCTCGTCACCGGTCCACGGATTACGCTATTGAGATCCTCCCCAGAGCTAAACTACCCAAGCCCAAATTGTATTCTATGACCCCACAGGAACTGACAGAGATGAGGGCATACATAGAAAAAAAATCTAAAAAGGGGATTCATTCAGTCAACGAGGTCCCGGGTGGCGGCACCCATCCTTTTCCACGAAAAGAAAGATGGAGGCCTACGCCTTTGTGTTGACTTCCTGGAAATTAACGCAGTCTATATAGAGCACTTATATCCTCTCCCGTTGATGAAGGATATGTTGGCCCAGTTGGCGGAGGGCCGTGTTTTCATAAAGTTAGATCTCAGGGAGGCGTATTATTGGATAAGGATATGGGCAGGGGACGAATGGAAAACAGCCTTTAATTGTCCCCTGGGAAGCTATCAGTTCAGAGTTATGTCCTTTGGCCTCCAGGGAGCTCCAGCTGTGTTCATGCAGCTCATCAATGAGGTGTTGCATGAACATTTATACAAAGGGGTGTTCGTCTACCTAGACAATATCTTAATATATACCAGGACCATGGAGGAACATGTCGCCCTAGTGTGTCAGGTCCTGAAAAATCTACTAGCGGCACAATTATACGTAAAATTATTGAAATGTGAGTACCACCGGTCACGGCTGGATTACCTTGTGTTCCGTATCTCACCTAACGGTGTTGAAATGGATCCTGCGAAGGTAAAGGTGATGTTGGACTGGCAAGCCCCCAAAACTCGCAAACAGCTAGTTTTTTGAGGTTCTCTAATTTCTATCGCCAGTTCATCCTATCCTTTGCCCAAGTGGCTCTCCCACTGACTGATCTCTTGAAAACAAAACATCTCAAAAAGTCCCTACACCCTGGTTGTCAGGTGGTATGGACGATTGAGTGTCAGCAGGCGTTTGAGCAATTGAAAGCCCTGTTTGCAAACGAGCCAGTGCTTAAACACCCAGAAACAGACAAGCCGTTTGTAGTCCAGGTCAACGCTAGTGACATGGCAGTGGCCGCTCTTCTACAGACGAACAATGACAGGGTCCTCCAGCCGTGTGCTTATACCTCCAGAAAATTGACTGAGACTGAATGTAATTGGTCAATATAGGGAAAGGAAGCATTCGCAGTCCGGTGGGCCTTGTTAAATGTGGCAATTATTAGAAGGGGGAGGGTTGGCCTTTGAGGTCTGGACAGACCATAAGAACCTGGAAGCCCTCCAATCCCCACAGTGACTATCGCCGAAACAGTTGAGGTGGGCGTTATATTTTAGGAGATTCAACTTTACGCTGAAGTACATCCCGGGGGAAAAGAACTTCCCCGCGGACACCTTCTCTCGTAAACCACAATATGACAGAAAGAGGGAGGTCTCCATACAAGCTATAATCCCAAAACCACCCACTAAAGTGTTAGCTACCCAACATACGTCATCCACAACCCGTGCATGAGCCCAAATTGTGGACATACCCAGGGCCATCCAGGCAGCCCTACAAGCAGATCAATGGTACCAGGAGAATCGCTTGTTATTGACTCAGAGAGATGGTCTTGCCTGGAAGGGAGCCAAAATATATGTACCCAGTGCTGTCCATTTGCTAGTGTTACGTCGATGTCACGATGTCCGCTTAGCTGGGCATTTTGGGTTCCTCAAAACATTGCATTTAACCAATCGCCAATTCTGGTGGCCCCATATGAAGGACATAAAGGAGTACGTAGGCAGCTGTGTCATATGTACGGCCATGAAAGCCAGGCCAGGGCGCCCTCCCGGACTGTTACAACCTGTGGCTATATGCCCATGGGACTCTATATGCCCATGGGAACAGATAGCAATGGACTTCATTGTGGACCTACCGGACAGCCAGGGTAAGAAAGTGATATGGACGGTTGTAGACCTGTTTTCTAAACAGGCTCATTTTGTAGCATGTACCGGCCTCCCGTCTGCTAAACAATTGGCCAAACTGTTTATCATCCACATCTATCGGCTCCATGGTGTACCCAAACGGATAATATCAGACCGGGGGGTGCAGTTTACCGCTCGCTTCTGACGGAATTTTGTAAACATGATAGGATTGTCCCAAGGCCTTAGCTCAGCCTTCCATCCCGCAACCTTTCCAGGTAGCCACTGGGGAGGGACTTCATTCTGATTCCGGAGTGTCCCCAGGTGGCTACTGCCGATTCAGGTATGCAGGAGTGAATAGCCCGGATGCAATAAGTATGGGGGTGGTGAAAACGGCATTACACCATGCAGCTGTGAAATACAAACAGTAGGCAGACAAAAAGCGAAGGCCACAAACGCCTTTCTTTGTAGGGCAGATGGTATTCCTTTCTACCAAAAAGCTAAAGTTATCTGTGCTCTGTAAGAAATTTGGCCCTAAATTCATTGGACCATTTCCTATTGTGAAGGTGATTAACCCCGTCATGGTGCAATTAAAATTGCCTCAATTATTAGGTAAAATGCATCCGGTCTTCCACTGCAGCTTGATCCAGCCAGTTCAGCCGTCACACATAAGGGGGGGTCCTGTACAGCCACCTCCACCCGTAAACGTAGACGGGGAACAGCACTATGAGGTGGAAGATCTTCTAGACACCAGGTGGCATAGGAGGCAGCTGCAATACCTCGTCCTATGGAAAGGCTACTCTTTGTCAGAGGCTTCATGGGTCCCCGATACAAACGTTAGGGCACCTTGACTGGTAGCCCGGTTCCACCACAAGTACCCAGATAAGCCGGGGGGGCCCGAACCACCCATATCCCTCCTGACCATGTTCTCTCTACTCCAGATGCAGTCTCCGTGGTAGAGGGGCCGCATATCAGCTCTGGCATGCTCAGCTCAGAGCTGCCATTTGGGGGGGGGGAGACGATCAGGAGCCGATCCCAGGGGAGGCAGCCTTGTTGCAAACAGCTGGATATTGTCAAGCCCCTTACAGGGCCTCCAGAACTGCCTCAGAATGTCTCCAGCAGCAGGCGAGCCTCAAAGCAAATTTACAACTACGAGACAGTGACTCAGCACTTCCGGGAGCTCTGGGTGACAGGCAGGCACGTGGAGGAGGGGGTGTGGCGATGGGAACTATTTAAAGGTGGTGGGGAGCACCAGATGTTAGCTCTGTCAATCCTTTCTTTGCATTGTTTATTGCTTGGATGGTCAGTGAGTGCCGGAGAAGATAAACGCTTCAAACCTAAACATCATTTGGCTGGGGGTTTTGTTCTGCGGAACCTGACAGAGAGAGAATGAGAGAGAGAGAGAGAGAGAGAAAGAGACAGAGAGAATGAGAGAGACACAGAATGAGAGAAAGAGACAGAATGAAAGAGAGAATGAGAAAGAGACAGAGAGAATGAGAGAGAGAATGAAAGAGAGAGAATGAAAGAGGGAGAGAGGGAATCAGAGAGAATGAGAGAGAATGAGTGGGAGAGAGAAAGAGAGAGGGGGAGAGAAAGAGAGGGAGAGGGAGAGGGAGAGAGAGAGAGAGAGAGAGTGAGAGAGAGAGAGAGAGGATGGAGAGTGCCTGAAGGACCCCATCCCGTCACTGGCAGTCCAGGCGCTTCAGCAAGCGGCGCACTGGATTTGTATTAGTGGTCCGCGGGATTTAAAATTATGAACTTGGTGATCCCTGAGGTCGAAAAGGTTGGGGACCCCCGAGATAGAAGATAGATAAAAATGTCTGTAACCTTAGAGGGGTGAAGAATCACTAAATTTCATTATAGTTGTGATAAAGGCTATATCCTTATTCTTTTTTCCCCGAACACCATCACTCTGCTAAACAAATAATTCCTTCAACACTGTCAAACTCTTCACTAAGGCTGCATTACTATTACTATTAGTCTTGTCATCGTTCCTATCACCCATCTCCTCCCACTTATGACTGCAACTTTGTTGCTTGTATCCTTACGAGTTATATTGATATTGTTTCCTGATTGCTTATTTGTATCCTATGACTATCATTAAGTGTTGTACCTTATGATTCTTGATGAATGTATCTTGTCTTTTTATGTACGTTGAGAGCATACGCACCAAAGACAAATTCCTTATGTGTCCAAATCACTCTTGGCCAATGAAGAATTCTATTCTATTCTATTTTTCTTGCACTATTTACTTCTTTCTGTTCTCCTTTGTTTAAGTATAGATTTTACTTTTACATTCAAATAATCTTTAAATATTCATATTCATATACATACATACATTTTAAACATTGTTTAAAATATTTTAAACATTGTTTACTGAAAAATGTGTTGAAGGAAATAATTTTAAAAATTCTTCTAATGTTAACATATAAAGAAATCTGAACTATTTTATTATTACATTATTTGAACTTTCTTAATTAGCTTGCTACTTACTTGCTGCCATGTTAGCTTCAACCGTTCAAAGTGCTCCTTCCCATCTTCTGAACAATCAGAACAAGTAAACTTGAAAAAGTTATCACCTTTAAGATAGGTGATCTGCTCTCTTGTATGACCTGTAAATAAATAAAAATCAGTCCTTTTTTCTCCAAAAAAACAGTTCAAGTCACTCATTATGAATTATATTACAAAGTATTTTTTTCTTCCATTCCATCATGTCTGATACTTGGAGATTGCCTAGACAAGTACCTGCAATTTTCTTGGCAAAGTTCTTCAGAAGTGTTTGCTATTGTTTCATTTGCAGGCTTGAGAGAAAGTGACTAGCTCAAGGTCACTCAGCTGGCATTGTGCCAAAGGCAGGACTAGAATTCATGGTCTCCCAGTCTCTACCTGATGTCTTAACCACTACCTCAGATTGGCTCTTATCGTATATATTAAAAAGGTAAAGGTTCCCCTCGCACAAATGTGCTAGTCGTTCCCGATTCTAGGGGGAGGTGCTCATCTCTGTTTCAAAGCCGAAGAGCCAGCGCTGTACGAAGATGTCTCCATGGTCATGTGGCCGGCATGACTAAATGCCAAATGTGCACAGAACGCTGTTACCTTCCCATCAAAGGTGGTCCCTATTTTTCTACTTGCATTTTTTACATGCTTTTGAACTGCTAGGTTGGCAGAAGCTGGGACAAGTAACAGGAGCTTACCCCGTTACGTGGCACTATAGATTCAAATCGCTGAACTGTTGAAAAACGTAAGTATTTCAAGTGTCCAAGTATATGACTGAGCTGTTATTCCTTGCCTTGTACTTTTTTCAAATTTTTGACCACTTAAGCTAGAATTAATTGATCATGTTCTTGCTGTTCCTGATTTAAACTTTTTGAGATCCTGGTATGAAGCATGAAGATAGAAACATTTAACCATGTGGTCAGACAGAAGACAATTGTTAATAGCGCTTAACTGTTTCTCTCTCAGTTACATGACAGTCAGCCTTTCTGTGAAATTATAGATGATTTTCTAAAATAATGTACTATGCAGAAATGTATACCAGTGGATGCAATTAAAATATGAATGGGTGAGAGGAATGTATGCAATTTGTACTTTGTATTTCCAGCAACTAATTTAAAGATTAATATGTGTGGTGGTTCTTTGTGCTCACAGTAAGTGTTGTTAATGATGTGGTTCCCATCTTCAAAAAAAAAAGGGTGGGGAAAACAGATCAGAAAACTACAGACCAATCAGCCTAACATCAATGCCTGGGTAGATACTGGAAAAAATAATCGCAAAACAGATCTGCGAACATCTAGAAACAAATAAAGTTATAACTAGAACAGGTTTGTTAAAAGCAGATCATGCCAAACCAATCTTATTTCATTCTTTCACAAAGTGCGTAAATTAGTAGACCAGCGAAATGCTGTGGACATAGTATACTTAGCAAGGCATTCAACAAAGTAGACCTACTTTGAAAAATGTAGTATAGACAGCATCACCACCAGATGGATATGTAACTGGCTGACAAACTGTACTCAGAATTGTCCTTAATGGTAGTACATCTACATGGAGGGAAGTAAGCAGTGAGGCGCCACAAGGTTCCATCTTAGGCCCAGTACTCATCAATATCTTCATAAATGATTTAGATGAGGTAATAGAAGGGGAATTCATCAAATTTGCTGGCAGGAATACCCGACACCCCAGAAAACAAGCTCAGGATCCAAAAACATCTTTACAGACTTGAATAATGGACCCTATCAAACAACATGAAATTAAATGTGGAGAAAAGGAAGGTTTTATACCTAGGCAGGAAAAACCAAAGGTACAAGTACAGATTAGGCGAAACCTGGCTCAAAAACAGTAACTGAAAAGGACCTTGGAGTCCTAGTGGACGATCACTGAAACATGAGCCAGCAGTGTGCAGCAGCAGCCAAAAAAACTAATACAATCCTTTGTTGTATAAATAGAGAGGCATAGAATCAAAATCATTAGTATCACTTTATAAATCCTTCATAAGATCACATCTCAAACACTACATCTGATTTTGGTCACCACATTACAAAAAAGATGTTGAGACTTCTCAACATCTGAAAAAAGTGCAAAGAAGAGCAACTAAGATGATTAAAGGCCTGGAGACTAAAACAGATGAAGAACAGTTGCAGGAATTGGCTATGGATAGTCTAGAGAAAAGAAGGACTAGGGGCAATGTGATAGCAGTATGCCACAAAGAAGAGGGGGGTCAACTTATTTTCCAAAGCACAAGAAGGCAAGACAAAAAACAATGGATCGAAACTAATGAAGGAGAAAAGCAATCTGGAATTAAGGAGAAAGTTCTTAACCGTGAGAACAATTAACCAGTGAAACAGCTTGCCTTTAGAAGTTGTAGGTGCTTCATCATTGGACGTTTTTAAGAAAAGACTGGACTGAACCACCTGTCTGAAATGGTCTCCTGCTTGAGCAGGGGCTTGGACTAGAAGACCTCCAAAGTCCCTTCCAGCTCTATTCTGATTGAAATTGAAATGCTATAATAAATGCCTAATACAAAGTATGGTTTCATGGACCATAACAGAAATTATAAATGTTACTCTATTCTATCAATATTAAGTTTCAGGGTGCATTTAAAAATACAAAGGTTCTATGTTAATTTGGGCCATTTTTTTTCTAGGTGGGATGTGTGCATTTTGTGCATACCCCGTTTTGCTGTAATGTCAATGCTATTTATACAGTTAAAACAGCAGCAGCCCTTTTTCTAGTTAACAATCACGATTATAAGAATAACAGTAGCAAAAACAGTACACATGCTTTTTACTGGGTTTCTGAATAGCAAGTATTATGTTTGATTTTGCTTGATAATGCATATAAAAATGATTAAATTGGAAAAAAAAAGTTGTCTGTCTGAAAAGTTGTCTGTCTTCCAGCTTTGTTTACCTTGAGGGTGGGAGAGATATTATTAGTTAATGTATTGTACCTGATTCAAGTTTTCCTCAACTGTGTAAACTCATTTGGGTAACTTGGGCATAGGATTGTCATGATAAGAATGAAGGGAAATGCAAGCCAACTTAAACACCTGAAGGAAACTGCTTGCCATCAATCACACATAAAAATTAACAAATAAACATTAAACGATTCTGTTATTTTGAAGGCCCTGTCTTCATGGAATATTCTTAATACAGGAATGGAAGTGGTTTGTGATTGCTGCCTTTCTGGATCTTTCTGAACATCTAAACACCATAGTCCTTGAATTTCTCAATGGCTTCTCATAGAAAAACAAATGCAGGTATTTTCTCTGCTCTGCAACAAAGAAATGTTGATTAAAGTAAGTTCAAATAGTTAATATATGTTTAAGGCTTTTTAAAATGAATTTGCTATGCAACAATTTATTTGTGTCTTAAGAGGATTGGGATCTGTGTCATTTATTTTGAAGTAAGCATAAATGATTTCAATGTTGTTTACTTTAAGAAGTATTATACCTCCAGGCTTCTGCAGTTCATACAAAGCTAATTGATCATTTCTAAAAAACACCAAATGGGTAGAACGGAATACCTATACCTAAACTTGTGTTAAGACACTATTCTACATGGACATATGTGCTTATGTGCAAAACAGAGTAATAACTGTAACTTTGAGAAACTCAAATTCACAAAGGACACAATATAATTAAGAAGTCTTACTTGCTGGCAACCATTTTTGACATCTTTCACAGTAATAAGACATCTCCTCTGCCCAGGATGTTTCTCCTTCATCACTATTCATAGAGTCCCCGCTTTGATCATGGCTCAAATCCACTGATGCCTGATCTTCAGATTCTACTATAAGAAGAGTCTCTCCTTCTACTTCCCCCTCTTCCAGTCCTTCTGAAGGAGATGCTCTTGTAGCTTCATCATCATGACAAGTCATCATGTTAGTCATGTATGCATTTTTATCCATTATGCCTATGGAGAATTATTTTCACTATATAAAAATGTTTTCTTCTAATATTTAAAAAGTATGATCAAAATAATGATTTGACTTGAAAAATATGATAATAAAATTATGTTAACAGAAAATTATGACAACTCTTTCTTTTCATGCTTGGGGTTTTCTTGCCATTAGCATTGTGCTATTCTCTGTTTCAAGTTGTAAGGCTAAAGTAGTATGTTTATCTAAAAGATTAAAATGTTCCTTGTATTTCTGTCTCTCAAGATCTCTGTACACGCCTTCATGTAATCTCTGAAAAAAAGATATATTATTATTAAAAGATTGGAAAAGATCCATCATACTTGCTATAAAATTAAGAATTCTTCAAAACTAATATATATTGCAACATAGGTTTTTAGCAGATATACATAAATTATAATACAATATTAATTAGATTACAGATCCTTATGGAAAAAAAATATACAATAAGCAAAAAATACATTAACCCTTGACTTATGATTATAATTTGGACCAAACTTCCAGCTAAGCAACATGTCATAAACAAGATGCCATGCAGCTCTAGATGAGGTACTTTCAGTAAGAAGCACAGGGATACAGTAGGCTGGGAAGGGGGGAGGTCAGTGGTGAAATGTAAAATTTGTTACTACTGGTTCTGTGGGCATGGCTTGGTGGTGGTGGGTAATGTGACTGGGTGGGAGTGGCCGAAGAGGTTGTAGAAAAAATGCTTTTAAAAGCTTCTGACGATCCCAGCTGAGCCGCGCAATCATCAGCTTTTTTTTTAATTTTAAAAGCATGTTTTCAGCCGAAGAGGTTGTAGAAAAAATGCTTTAATTTTTTTTTAAAAAAAGCCTGTGATGATTGCGCAGCTCAGCTGGGTATGGGGGGGGGGGCAGCAAGGATTTTTGCTACTGGTTCTCTGAACCACCGGCCCCATCGCTACCAGATCAGGCGATCCAGTCCGAACTGGGAGCATTTCACCCCTGGGGGAGGCCCAGCACAAGTTACATGCAAACTGGGGGTGCTGCAGTATGCCACAAGCACTGATAGGCTGGGAAAAAATATGCTTGGCTCAAGGGCTTCTTGATGTGACACAGTGCAAGATGCCTGAGTTGTAGTGCTGCACAAAGCTGCAGCCATCCCTGGAAGCCTCAGCCATCTCAGCCCAGGCCAGCAGCAGGGAGTAAGCCTCAGCCACATCAGCTACCTGACTGGCCAAGCAGTGCGGTGTGCTTTAACCCATCCGCCCTGCCACAACCAGCTGGTCTTTGCCATTTTCCTCTCACTGTTAAGGTGCACCAGGCCTGACCCTACTGCATGTGAAGCAGTTGCTGGCCACACCAAGCCTTCTTCCTGAGACCTGGCAGAGCTATCAGCTGATTCACATACAGTAGGGTCAGCCACCTCATCACATTGGGAGGAAAATTGAGGTCACAGGTTATAAGCTTCTTCATTCAGGGCCATCATAACTTTGAATGGTCATTGAACAAGTGGCCATATGTTGAGGACTACATCTACTCATATACAGGTAGTCCTTGACTTACAGCCACAATTGGCATCAGAATTTCCATTGCTAAGTAAGATTAAGTGACTTGCATGTGATTTTATAGGTTTTTTTTGCCCCAGTTATTAGGCGATTCACTGAAGTTAAGTGAATCCCATGGTCATTATATGAATTCCTCTACTGATTTTGTGAGAAATCAAAGCCAGCTGGGAAGGTCACAAATGATAATCATATGACTGAGACACTGGAATAGATGCCAATTTCCAAGCATTCAGATTTTGATTACATGACCGTGGGGATGATCCAAACAGTTGTAAATACAAGGACTGGTCATAACTTACTTTTTTCAGTGCCACTGTAACTTTGAAAGATTGGTAAACAAATGGTTATAAGTCAAGAACTACAGGTAGTCAACTTAAGACCAATCATTTAGTGACTGTTCAGAGTTACAGTGGACCACCCAAAAGCTGACTTAGTTCCAAAATTATGACTTCTGCAGCACCCCTGTAGTCCTTTGCCCTTACAACTGACTGCAAGGACCCTTCAGCACCTTCCTGCCTATCTCCCCATCAGGTTCCACAGTCCTTAGGCCTGCATCCCGCCCCCCAGGCCCCACATCTTCCTCACTTACCTTTTGAAGATCTCTGGAGCTCATGTTAGGAAAGCAAAGCAGGCCTCATCGTGTCTAGGCTGTATGGTACGATTCCAGAAGCCGCCACCATTTTCAAAGTGCCCACTATTCAGGGCAGCTTACCTGAAAATGGCAGCCACTTCCAGGATTGCACCATGTAGGCCAGAAACAATGAGACCTGCTTTGCTTCTCTAACACAAATTCCAGAGATGTTCGAAAGGTGCAATGGGTGACGTGGGGTAAGGAGAATGTGGGTCTATGGGTGTGAAACAGACCCAAGGGCAGGAAGCAGAGCACAAGATGCCTCAGGGGGTGGGGAAGGCCTTAGGAGGCTTGGGGAAGGATCTGCACTATGTCTCCCAATTCACTTAATGACCGCACTGGGAAGAGCACAGAAGGGGAATTGTAAGGTTCCATTTCAATTGTCGTTTGAGGACTATCTGTTAGGTGAAATATCATGTGACCACACCATTTAGCAACAGCAGTTTTGGTAGTCCTGGTTGCAGTTGTTAGCCCAAGATTATGCTATCATGCTTATTTTGCCCTAGCATGCTCCCCTTCACTTCAACTTCTCCAATCCATTTCCTCTCATTTCTGCTTTTTGGGTCACTCTGAACTCCACTGCCCCTGCTGTTCCACCACCCTGTACTCCATCCTGCAGCCCCCAGATTATCTTTGCCATCTTCTTCCTCCCACTGAGGTGTGGGTAGGGTGCAGGGCAGCAAGGACAAAAGACAGCAGAGGAGAGCAGAGTTGGAGGGGAAATTAGGCAGGTGAGGAGAGTTGAAGGGCACTCTATGGTCATAAATGCAGACAGACTACCAAATGTCTTAATTTTTATCACATGACCACAGGGGCTATAACTTTGAGGATAGCCATAAATATCAGATGTCTTGTGGGAAGCTGTTCCATAGAATTTGGTGCAGCTACTGGTCCTGAACAATATCTCTGATCCTCCCCTCATTTCTTGTCAGTCCCATATCTCCCTAGTGGAGTACAGTTAACAATTTCTCTAGGCTAAAATATAATATATTTGCAAAATATTTTTTTCCATTCAATCATGGAGGAAACTGCTTGGACAAGTCCTTGCAGGTTTTTTGAGAAGGTTTATCAGAAGTGTTTTGTCATTGTCTCCTTCCTAGGGCTGAAAGAAAATGACAACCAGACTGTGGGATGCATGTGGGATTTGCTTAGCACATGAAAGTCAGGATCATGAAAGTAGAGATGGTATTGCTGGTCCCAGCTGCCACCAATTAGTGAGAACTACCTAGAACATAAAAGCCTCAGTTACACTTGTGGGAAATCAGAGATTAAAAGATTTAACTGAAAAATCAAACTTGTATTATTACTATTAAAAATAAAAAATGAAACTAGTTGTAATACTATTTTGTATGGTACATTGTTTTAACAAGAAACCAGAAAAAAAGTTAGCAAAAAAAGGATGAAGTAAAAATAAGTTGCAGTATCCAGTTTTTGAGAAACAGATACCAACTTTCCAGGAAATTTTTTAGTTTCCTATAAACTTGTATGAAGATTCCATCTAGCAATCATTGAGTCAAACTTCTCATTCTCTAACACTGTTTAATTCTCAAAATGTTTAAGTGGAATTAACTTTGGCAACAATACTATTTTAATATTAGTTTCTTCTTTCACTCTCTGCAAAGAACTGAGGTTAAGCCATTGTAAATTGTAAACCCTGCCCAAAAACAAAAATATAATATAAAGATACAAGTTACTGCTTGCTTTTTACAAGATACCTTAATTAGGAAAATGATAAAGGCTTGTTTAGATTTCCAGGAAGAAAACAAAAACCTTACAACGAAGCATTCAAGTTGAGCAAAAGTAAAATTGTCCCTCGGAGTTTCTTCCAGTCCAAATTCAGTATAAGCCTTAGAAAGTACTAACATATATTTAGAAACTCCCTAACTTTTCTTCACAGAAGAGATATTGGAAGGAAAAATCATTAAATGCGGCTTTTTTCTTGAAAGAGAAACGGCGGAATTACATATGCTTTTAAAAACGTTTTGGAAATTCCCTAGTACAGCAATATAAAACAGCAGATTCCTCCATAGCTTTTCTGTGGAATAGCTGTTACCTCTAACCCGAGAGAAAAAAAATGGCTCCCAAATTCAACGAGGAAGTAGGAGTTTATACTGTATGAGAAATCTTTCGACATTACCTCTCTGAGACGTCTCTGTTGGACGTGGACACCAATAATGACTCCGCCCGAGAGCAGGACAGAAACCCCCAGGGCTGCCTTAGAAGCCGCTGACATGACACGACGTAGCACCGCAATTTCCCACAACAGGACGCATGAAAAAGATGCCACACCATTGCAGATAAGGTACTAAGAGCATGCGCGTCTACGCGGACGTCACAATGGGTTCTATTTTCCACGCATGCTCAACGGGTTTGACTGACGCGCGTGGTTGGGATCGTTTCTTTCATGAAAGTATGCTTTCTTTCAAGAGATAGAACATTGACCCTAATTCTTTTGAGCAGTTTGGAGACTATTTTTACTCCAATAGAAGGAAAAGAGGTAGCACGTTTGTTGGCAAGTTGAATTAGCATTGTTAAAATTGAGAAATAAGATTGTAGTAAAAATAATTTTAATTGAATTTGTGATTTTAATTTTCTGCTAAGAAATCTAGAAGCAAAAATAATACATCTGGTGGAATAATAAAATTACTTAAAATATTCTGCATTAAAATCTTTGTGCATGAGAACAGAAGACCTAATAGAATAGAATAGAATAACAGAGTTGGAAGGGATCTTGGAGGTCTTCTAGTCCAACCCCCTGCCCAGGCAGGAAATGCTACACCACTTCAGGCAAATTGTTATCCAACATTTTAAAAATTTCCAGTGTTGGAGCATTCACAACTTCTGCAGGCAAATTGTTCCATTTGTTAATTGTTCTGTCAGGAAATTTCTCCTTAGTTCTAAGTTGGCAACAATATCATATCTCCCCTCATTTACTTGAATTTCTAATCTTCAAGTAATCTAGTGTAGGAAGTTAGCACCCGCCCCTTTCCTAGAAGAATGAAATATTTTAGGAAATATTAAAAAGGCAGAATATTATGTTTCCCTGGATGAGAAATGGAGAAGCATGTTTTAAAGACGAAGCAGCTCCCATCTTCCTGCCCATACCTTTTGTCAGTGGGCCAGAGACAGAAACTCAATCTTTGTCAATGGACCATCATCTGCAACACAATAGGACCCATCTAGTAACAGAAACTCACCACATGGCACCTGGGAAGATTACATCAACCAGCAAGGTTAGCTAAGACCCCCACCCCCTGGGAGTCTGACAACCAACCAGGATACTCTTTCTGGGCCCCAGGAAGTTCAAAGCCAGAGAGGGCATAAAACCCGGGGACTCACTGCGTCTCGTCCCCTTTTCTGTTCAGGAACTCAAGCCATGTGATCCTGTCCACCATTAAGCCATCTTTCCAAGCAGTCTCCATGTTTCTAGTATCTTTTTCCCCACTTGGAGCTGAACCCTGAAGGATATTTCTTCCTACACTAGTATTTAGATCAGGGGTGAAATCTAAAAATTTTTGCTACTGGTTCTGTGGGCGTGGCTTAATTAGTGGGCGTGGCTTGGTAAGGTGACTGGGAGGGCATGGCTTGTTGGTCAGGTGGGTGTGGCCAAGTCAATGTCACTTCTTCGCCCTTTTTTAACCTAAAAAACACAACACAACACAACACAACTGGCTCACCCACAATATAAAAGCAGCTGTGCTAGACCCAAAATGGCCCCTGCAACAAGCAGGAACCTCACACAGCCACAAAAAGCCCAAAAAAACAACTTTCACACTTTACACACACACAACACAACAGAACACAACTGGCTCACCCACAATGTAAAAGCAGCTGTGCTAGACCCAAAATGGCCCCTGCAACAAGCAGGAACCTCACACAGCCACAAAAAGCCCAAAAAAACAACTTTCACACTTTACACACACACAACAGAACACAACTGGCTCACCCACAATGTAAAAGCAGCTGTGCTAGACCCAAAATGGCCCCTGCAACAAGCAGGAACCTCACACAGCCACAAAAAACGCAAAAAACCAACTTTCATACTTTACACACACAAAATTCCACATACAGCTTTGTGAGATTTTGTGTGTTTGTGTAGTTTGTATTATACCTCTGTATTATACTGTGCATTCGGTTTTTCTTGCCATAATGTAGGGCCTTACTTTTTTCACCATTGAATTTAGTTTTGTTAGATAGGGCCCAATCTTCAGGTCTGTAAAGATCCTTTGGTATTGAAGAGTACTGGGCCGAAGACAGAGCCTTGGGTTACCCTCCGTGTAGAAGTAGTGCCATTGAGGACTACACGTTGAGTGTGGTTGGTCAGCCAGTTACAAATCCATCTGGTGGTGATGCTGTCTAACCCATATTTTTCTACTTTATCTAGTAGTAGGTTATGGTCTACTTTATCAAATGCTTTACTGAAGTCCAAATAAATTATATCCACAGCATTTCTCTGGTCCACTAATTTTGTCACTTTGTCAAAGAATGCAATAAGATCTGTTTTTGACAAATCCATGTTGGCTGTTCATTAGGACTTTGTTTGCCTCTAGGTGTTCGGAGATTCATTGCTTGATTATGTTTTCCAGAATCTTCCCAGGTATTGATGTCAGGCTGATAAATCTGTAGTTTCCTGGATGTCAGACCTGGCCCAGCTTGGTCCCTTTGGAAAGAAACACTTTTGACTCCATTTGTAGCAAAAAGATTAGTTTTACTAAAAGCCAAGCACTTACAGTAAATAAAGCCAGAACTAAAAGTTTGTGCATGAAGATTCCCTAGTTAACTTTTCCTTCTTTTTTTTTTTTGCTTTAATTTATATGCCACCCTTCTCCGGAGACTCAGGGCGGCTTACAATGGGTTAAGCAATAGCCTTCATACTTTTGTATATTTATATAAAGCTTATTGCCCCCACAATCTGGGTCCTCATTTTACCTACCTTTCTTCAGTCCACTCCCACTATCTTCCCATTGTCCAGTCATATTTGAAGGTGATGTTTTGGTAACTGTCCCTGTAACAGTTGAGTAGGTGGATAAGCATTGCATTCCATTCCCAGGTCCATGGCCTTTGGATATCTTGGGATGACATGAAGATCTCATTCACTTTTCCCCATCTTCCCACAGCTCCCTCCCCCCCCCCCATGGTTTATATAGACTGGTATCTAGCAAAGCATAAGTGCAAGTGAAGGATTGCAGTTCTGATATTCTGTCCCCTTGAAAAATGAGCTAATCCTGGAAAGAAAGAGAAAAAGAAAGATGTTAGATATTTAGTTAGGTTTGATAGGGTATGATAGGGTATGGAATTTTCGGATGAGGCATGGGGATTGCATATGTGGGGCATCAATACACTCTGATTCAGAGGCTAGAAAATGTTTCTAAAGGATTAAATACTGGAGTCAGCCTCTGTGAATTCATGAATCCAGTATTTCCTTTAACTTCAAAGTGTTCTTCAATAAGGATGGGTGCTGGTGGTGGCTTCATTGCAGGATGCAAGGGGGATGTGCTAGCAGACTTTAATAGGCTACAGTGGAATACCAGGTGGATGCGCTGAAGGTTCAATTCCACAGTCACCAGATTGATGACTCTGATGATGGGGAAAGTACTTGATTGAGAGGAATACTTTGTCTCCAACTTTAAATTTGATTTGCGGCTGCTTTTTCTTTTTAGTGTATTTTTATGGGATTCCCTTGTATTGTCTAATGCTTTGCAAACAACCGACCAAGTGTGCTGGAGGGATTTCATCCACTCAGCGAGGGTGGTGCTTTAGGGTTGTTGTTGTTGAGGAAGTTCCAGCATAGTGACAAAGTCTTGGCCGGTAGCCACCCAGAATGGTTTGAATCTGGTGCTGGTGTGCACAGTGTTGTTATATGCCACTTCTGTAAAGGGGAAAAGTTGTGCCCAGTTGTCTGGTTGATAGTTAACATAACATCAGAGGTAGTGGTCCAAAATGCCATTTGTGCGTTCATTGGTTCCATTCATATGGGGGTGGTGAGAAGAGCTCAGTCCCTGGGAAGTCCCCAAAGGTTTCAAGAACTCTTGCCAAAAGTGAAATGTAAATTCACTTTTTCTGAGTGAGATGATTTTTGGGGGGTCCATGGAGTCTGTAAACTTGTTGCACAAAGAGCTTGGCTAAGGATCGTGCTGAGGAGATCTTGGGACAGACAACAAAATAAACCTGTTTGGTGAAAACATTGGTGATGACCAATATGACAGTGTTTCCTAAGCTGTTGGGCAATTCCATGATAAAGTCCATGGAAATTTCCTTCCAAGAGGTACTTGGGTTTGCTAATGGCTGTAGTAAACGGGGGGGGGGGGGGCGGCTTTCAAGGGCTCCTGTTATGACCCAAGTCATCTAGGCAGAGGCAGGCATCAATACTGTAGAGTCCTTTATTGCTCTGTTTAAAGGCCACAACAAATGGCCCAACAAACTGGCAAGGCTCCATTCCACACTACCTCAGTCCCCCAAACCTGGTAAAGAACAAAGGAAGTCCAAAGAGAGGATGCAAGCTCATGGGACAAGGTCCAAAGTCAACACCGGGTAAGGCAAGGTCAAAGGCAGGTCTACAAGGCAAAGCAAGTCCACAAGGCCAAAGGCAGTCCACAACGCAAAGGCAAGAAACAGACAAGAGCACAAGTGAAAGCTGGGGGAGTGTAAGCCAAAGCAAACAATTGTTCCTGACAAACTCCCCCTGGCTTCCAGCTGGTCAAACACCTCCCCCAATGCCTGAGGGCCCTGGGACAGCATTGTTCTCAGCCTCTGGCCTCTCCAAACATTTCAAGGGAGACGTGCCATATCCATCAGACGGTCCTGGGTTCCAACTCCTCCTCTTCCTCCAAACTGGGATCCAATGGGGTCATTACACTATCCCACACACAGGGCCCCCTTTCCCAGAACCATGCAGACCAGAGCACTCCAGGTACTTGGTGTCCATACCAGATGAGCGTGCTTATCCTTGGCATCCATCCACATTAAGTTCTCCGGTCCATAGCCCTTCTAAGCCACCAGGTACTGAAAGCATCCCCTCATCCAACAGGAATCCAAATACCTCATATTCTGGATGTCCCTGTGTGGCCACGGGACCCAGTGGTAGTGTGGTGGGATGGTGGGGACTGTCTGCTGACATAGGCATCAGTAAGGACCGATGGAACATTGGGTAGATTACTTTGAGGCAATGTTAGCCGGAAGATGACAAGGTTGATCAT